CCGTCAGATTATAAATAATTCTATACTGAAAATTTGGGAGCGTTTATTAGAAAGAAGAAGAATTTTCGTATATTTGAATACTAATTCTCTCGAAATAAAACCATTTTCCGAACATCGATTCTCTCGAGAAATTTCATTTCACAAATTCTCCAACATTATTCACCTACTTTACCTTGGCTAAAATAAAGAACTCAATTTTCACTCATATATCAGAAAATCATGCTTCCAGTTTCTACACAAATCTACCACACACTTCCTCTCATTAATCGCAAACGGGCTTCTCTCACGATACATAATCAATTAAGTCCACCTTACCTTCGTTTCGTAATTATAACATAAATCTACCGTATATCCACTGAATTACTATCGAGGATGTAAAGGCAGGGATAACGACAACTAGCCACCGTAAAAGAAGAAACCAAACCACCTGCCGCGTTGATGCGCATTCCTCCAACTAGGAAGTCTAATAGAATCATTCGACCAACTATATATATATAATACATTCGATTTCACACTTGCTGCCTAATGTATATTCCCCTTCTCCGCCGAAAAATCAACAACTAAAACCAACTACCACATCTACACACATATCCGCCATTACAATTCTCTCTATCGATCATCCATCTCTCGCGCAATCATTATTCCAACTAAATCCCTGCTCCGGCAAATCCAAAAACCCCATTTCCATCTGATTAACCGAGCAAGGTACAAAAGAGGACCACGTAAGGCGAATAATTCACGCGTCTTCCGTTTCCTTTCACCCTGCAAAAGAGGGTCCAACGCGTTCCACGCCACTGCACGCAGAGTTATGGAAGCAACTGGTCAGGATTAAACAAAAAAAAAAAAAAATATGCTATAACGTCGCGCGCGACGTACACACGCGCCTCTCCTCTCGCTCCACACGCGCCTGTTTCACTTTTCCGCGACCGTAGGAGCGCACAGAGGGGCTCGCCGTGGATCCCCTGTCGGGGGAAAGCGGACTATAAAGACGGTGGCAACTTGGGGGGAAGTATCCAGTAAAGTCTGGACTTCGACCAGATATCGGAGTTACCCGCGAGACATGAAATTTTTGGTGAGTACCGTGAAACTGCACAACCTAAAGAACTCTGACAACATTTCACACATTCTCGATCTAACGAGTAGACCAAGAAATTTCTGCACCGTTGTAAGGTTTAATTCCCGTTCGAAATTCCAGCTGCCCACGATATTTCTGGCCCTTTTGGCCACAGCGCTCTGCGAGAAGAAGGCTGCCAAGGAGGCAGAGGCCCAAGAGACCTCTAGCCTAGAGAAGAAACAGGACAAACGTGGTTTGACCCACCTCGAGGGTGGTGGCGGCGGTGATTATGGCGGCGATTACGGCGGAGGAGACTACGGCGGAGGCCACGAGATCGCCTTGTCCGGAGGAGACGGCGGTGGTTACGGCGGTGGCTACGGTGGAGGCGATGGCGGTGGCTATGGTGGTGGCTACGGCGGCGGTGGCGGCTACGGTGGCGGTGGCGGTGGCTACGACGAAGGCGGCAAAGTAAAGGAAATAACGATCGTGAAGAGCGTGAAGATTCCCTATCCGGTGGAGAAGAAGGTCCACTACCCCGTGGAGAAGGAGGTACCGTATCCAGTCAAGGTCCCAGTGCCTCAGCCCTATCCAGTCGAGAAGAATATCCCAGTTCCAGTCAAGGTTCTCGTCAAGATACCAGTCCACATCCCTCAACCCTACCCGGTGGAGAAGAAGATACCTTATCCAGTCCACGTACCAGTGGAGAGGCCAGTTCCACACAAGGTCTACGTGCCACAGCCCTATCCAGTGGAGAAGAAGATCCCCTATCCAGTCAAGGTACCTGTTCCACAGCCCTATCCAGTCGAGAAACCTGTACCTTACGCCGTCAAAGTGGTGGAACACGTTCCTCAGCCGTTCCCAGTCGACAAGCCTGTACCCTATCCGGTTAACATACCTATCGAGAGACCGTACCCCGTCCACATACCTAAACCGTACCCAGTACCTGTCGAGAAGCCTGTACCAGTACCTGTGGAAAAGGCTGTACCTTATCCAGTCAAGGTAGCAGTCGAGAGACCAGTTGGTATACCAGTCGAGAGACCTGTGCCTGTCGAGGTTAAGGTACCAGTACCTGCGCCCTATCCAGTGGAGAAACCAGTACCTGTGCCTATCGAGAAGCCTGTTCCCTACGCGGTTAAGATACCCGTAGAGCGACCAGTGCCTATCGCGGTATCCAAGCCGGTAGCAGTACCTATTGCCAAGCCTGTACCTTATCCGGTTAAGGTACCAGTACCTGTGTCGATCCACAGCGGAGGATACGGAGGTTCGGGAGGATCTGGAGGAGGCTACGGTGGATACGGTGGATCTGGAGGATCTGGAGGATACGGAGGATATGGAGGATTGGAGGGTGATTATGAGTCCAGCTTTGGCGGGCACTAGATGAATTAGCGACGTTAGGTCGACACTCCGATGCTAGTTTACGTCGGTTCGACCAACGTCAATCGTCGCGTCGATTGTTTTTTTTTTTTCACCCTCTTCGAGGGTTGCTAGAGCTAATTTCTGACGCGATCGGGGTATATATTTATTAGAAATTCAGTTTCGTCTTTCAAGAAATTATCGCTGGATTCGTGGTTTATTTGTCCGATCCAGCGATTAGCAGTTAGATCGTAGCTCGTTTTCGATACCCTTTGATACCTGAGTACCTAAGAATACACATATTGTATATGTACGATGTATTGTACAAAGAATCTCTCCTGACGTCTCTACAGACGTCAGTTGTACACACCGTGTCTTTCGCTTCTTTCTAATAAAACCAAAGAGCAAAAATCGATCGTCTATGTGTCTTTCACCCGAACCTTCTCTCCCATGAAATCCACGTATCTTTGTAGCCGTACGAAAAATTGGCGTTCAACCTACGGGTGGAACCGCGACGAAATTCGAAACTTTCCAAGATTCTAATCCGTCGAATTTCTTTCCATCGTCAGATCTGCTCTAAGTCGAATCAAGGCCGTGCCACGACCGTTACATTCTCGACACCGACGGTGTTTCGTAACAGCTACAGGCTCACCTCCCTGCCGGAGAGCGTCGAAACGCGGAACATCAGACGCGATACACATCTTCGATTCGACTTTCGCGATCCACGCAACGTTACGTCCGTAACGAATGGCCGCCGTTTCCCGGAAAAGTTCGAAAGTAAACGGCCACGGTATGCCACCGCCGCGATTCCCCTTTGCTCCGTGAATCTCTGAACGCGGAAGCGGCACCAGCCGGTGATTAACGCAACAAAAACTCGGCTGTAATTAGTCCTGTTTGGCAGCGGTAGAAAGGGAAACTTTCATCGTGTTCCGAGTGGTAAATTCGCGACGGCCGAAAAATTTTCAACATCTGGCGTATGTCAGCACGTGCGCCAACATGGCGAACGGATGATTGCCAGCACGGAGAAAGAGGCTTTCTCTCGGTACATCGATGACATACCGCTTAGCAAATCGGGGAGACCTCGAGATTAAGAATGATCAGAAGTGAAATCGTTTCTGTGTTGGAGGAGCGAGAAATTGCTATTGTTAGTTTCTCGTTTAATTCTAGGTTCAAAGATTCGACTACCTGTTGCAGACTGGCGATAATCGTCTGTTGCGATTTTTACAAATTTCAAGATTTTCAGTCGAATACTGGTATTTTTAAGAGAAAATTTGAACATTTTCAATAGAATTCTAGCGTTTTTAAAGACTCACCGAATGTAGGGAATGTTGGCCGGGATGTGATACTTTGCGCCAGGATCGAAATCGTCCTCGGATCTGAGAACAGGCGGTTTCACTCCTGCGTACTGTTCCATCAGCCTGTGCCAATGGCAATTATAGTCCTCTCTGTTTACGTAACCGCGGAAAACGTCCCATCTCCACCTGTCCATCGCTATACTGAAGGGTAGCATGACCAATTTGTCCATCGCCAGCGAGAAGAGATAATTGATGTCCGCTGTAGATTCGTCGATGTACTTGTTCGCTAAGCCTAGAGTTTGCATGTGTCGAGGGGTGGCCACGCTGAGTGCTATAGCCTCACCCACGGCCTCGTGGAAACCTGTATTGAAGTGCCTTTTATTGGTTTTGCCTTAGATACAGGTAGCGATAGGGGAAAGCGAGAATCGGAGTTGACAAATTGTCAACAGGTAAATCGTTCAGGCTCTCTTATGCCTGAAGGGTGAAAGACAAAGTGGTTCTGGCTACTTTCTTGAGTCAGTTAGTATCTGTAATATTCTACTGCAGATCGATTTATTTTAAGTGACTAATTATAACAATTCGGTAATATAGCAGAGTTGGGAATTGTTTGAATAAAGTATTTTAAAAATGGTCATTTTTATTTTATTTTGAAACACATGCACTGCAAATTATTTGTCATTTTATTTGAAAGAGTTTAATAACGATTTATATGATCCTGACACAAAATGAAGCTACTTTTCACATATTAATTATCCAATAGAAATGATAAAATAGTTGAAATGATCTATTACTTTAAATTCTCAAAATTTATCTTTGTTTCAAATAAAGTTTGCACAGGTCTGCAATATTTAGAAGTAGTACAATTAATAATAATAAAATGATTAAAATAGATTTCAGCCCAACTTCCACAATAAAAAGAGAAGCTAGAAAGAATAAGAAAACATGTTCTTGCATTCATAAATATTCCTCCAATAATATCGATTCCAACAATTCCACAACAGTAACTAAAAATTTTCCCCGGAAATCATCGTAAACCCTCGAACTCCCCCAAATCAAGTTCCATAAACAACACCCAATCATTGAAGTATGCCTGCAAGGGCTCGTAAACATTTCCCGCAAGGTCGCCAGGCATCGGTTCAGGATTTGTTTTCATCGGGGGTCCACGGTTAGGCGAACGACCGAGGAACGGAACGGAACGGTGAAAGCGCGATTATACCATAATAAAAATATTTCAACGATCTCGCGTACGGATTGGAGAGTACCCGGCACATCCACTCGGACACACTTTACGTCCGTGTACAGGCGAATCCACCTCGACCGTATCGTTCTCGCTCTCGCTTTCGCGCTATTAGCCGTAAAAGTGCCTCGAGTAGTGGACCGCCTACCGGAAGTTAAACGGCCGCCGGTTACGTAACGACCGCGTGTCGTCCGCCATGAAACATCGCGTGTCGTTTCTCTCCTTCTTTAATTTAACCGTGTAGCCAGTTGTACTACGAATTCGAGTAAACGTATCGTGTGCACTCGTCGTTCGTGTTTCTTTTCTTGAAACGGGGGGAAAAGATGGAATAAACACTTGTTCGTCGTGATCAGCGTGGATTTCCGGGTGATCGATATGATCGATCGATCGATCGGTCGGTCGGTTGGTGAATTTTTCTGTGAAAGGAAGGAAACGATGTTTTGTCGGGGGATTTTAGTGAAAGTAATTTTTCTCGGTTAATCGAATGGAGATATTTGAGGAACATATTGATTGGTAATGTTTGATTTTATTTTTTTCTTTTTTTGTTTGCACATAGGAGGGAATGATCGAGAAGGTGTTTCTTTTTTTTGTCGTACCTGGATTGGCACCGTCTCGGAATTCGCGAGACAGTCCGTTGTATCGGAGGAAGTATTGAATGTGGGCCATCTCGTGGTGCACCGTGATTAGGTCCTTCATGGTGACCTTGGTGCACATCTTGATCCTATGAGGAGATTAGAAAAAGGAGGGGTGAATTGTTGGTAGAGAGAAATAGAAAAGAGAAGAACGATAGGACGAAATTACCTGTAATCTAAGCGATTGCAAAAATCCCAAGCGGAAGCTTGACAAATTAACGGCCTATCCCCAGGATCCCTGATGATACTTCCGGCCCAAAATTCAGGCGGCATGGCGCTCATGTTCATCGATAGATAAAATTCCTCCGCGATCCTGAACATCTCGATAGGCGTGTACCCCTGAGGAAATAGCATTGAAAAACAACGTTTTACTATACGTTTTGCATACCTGAAAAATACGAGAAACACGATACCGGAGAATACATGGAATTAATTAGATTCGATAGACGGCTTATCTCTATACCTGTAGCAAGAAATGAATTCACGTAGAAATGCAGCGTGAAAGTGTTTCGGGATAATTGAAGATGGAAAAACACGAGAAATTACGATTCTAATGAAGGTTCCATTTGAATACTCCAAATAATCACTAAAGAAACAACCACGAAGATCGATTATCCTTTTCTTTCCTGTAAAAGTAATTTAATCTACACCATGCGTGCGCGTGTTACGTATCATTTACAGCGATGCAGTTCAAAGTCCTAAAATCAATTTCCCTCGTTAGAAACGACGAAGGGAATCGAGGAAAATTTATCAAAAAAAAAAAAAAGAATAAAACAACGAATTCCAATGGAAATAGGTGAGCGAAACATTTCACGGATCTTCACTTACTTCACCGTTACTTTCGAATCGTAACAGGTTACTTTCGATTCTCCTCGGAAACAATGGCCCGACTGAACTGAATTCATTAGCCTGTCGAAGTTAATTCCTCTGATAAGGATTACGCAATGTTACACTCTTACCTGGGCCTGCATTTCCTGCGTCACGTCCAGGTAGTTCTTTCCTGGATAGGGTTGAGTGATGTCGATTATGTTCGTCCACGATTGGGCCCAAATGTTTCCTGCCGAAAAATCCACCGCAATTTCACGAATTTTAATATTCGACATTCCAGACAGTTTTCTGTGATTAATTAAGAATTTATCGGTACCGAGAATATGAGCCGGAAGTGGAGCATGAGCGCCGATTTTCTCTGGCCCATAGAGGTCCCTCAATTTTTTCCTCACGTATGCGTGCAATTCTTCGTAAAGTGGACGCACCATTTCCCAAACTTCGTCGATGTCCTGTTGCAAATTCGGAGATTCGTAGGGGAACATCCAATATTCTGACGCGTCGGTGAAGTCTGCACGGAGATTCAATTATTTTTGTCAATTATCGATTATTTGGAATGATGTTTTGTCAAGTGTCGAACGTACTGTTCAATCTAGCAGCCTCGTTGTTCAACGTAACGAGCTGTTGATAGAGATCTTTGATCCTCATCCCGCTTCTCCTCCTCCATTCTGTCCATACGTACTGTAACTCGTCCCAATTTCGACTCCTAGCCATGATCTGCGATATATCTGCAAAAGAACGAACAGAGATGTGATCGTGGAAAGAAATGAGAACATATGGTGCTACGTAAGTGAAGGTATAAGGAGTTGATCGGTGGTTAGAGGTGTGTTTCATGTTGGTTTTCACCTCGAACAGCTTTCACGATAATCTTGCGATCGATTAGTCGCTGATGATTTCTTGCGACACGTGTGATCTAAGCTCTGTGGAAAGCTGGTTACCGCAACTGTTACGGAGATACGTAGTTAATCTACATAGTTCTAGCCTAAGTAGAACCGAAGTGTGTGTGTGTGTGTGTGTGTGTATGATATGTTATGTAAATTAAAGGTACGTAGATTTGTTCTGCGTTACGGCGGTCTAACTTTCATAGTTCTGCAATATAGGTGGAGATTGATTTCATAGATCTGCGGTGTAGAGGTCTGAATTTTGTAGGTTCACTTTATCTGTAGGTCTAAATTTAATAATTCTGCATTACAGAGCTCTAAAGTTCGTAGTTCTAAGCTATAGAGGCCTAAGTTTCATAGTTCTAGGCTGCACATAGATTTAAATTTCATAATTCTGAGCTGTAGAGGTCTAGGTTTCACAGTTCAGTGTTATAGAGGTCTAAATTTTATAGTTCTAAGCTATAGAGGCCTAAATTTCATAGTTCAGTGTTATAGAGGTCTAAATTTCATAGTCCTAAGCTATAGAGATCTCAGTTTCGTAGTTCTAAGCTATATATAGATTCAAATTTCATAATTCTAAGCTATAGAGGCCTAAATTTCACAGTTCTGCGCTATAGAGGTTTAAATTTCATAGTTCTAAGCTACAGAGGTCTAAGTTTCGTAGTCCTAAGCTACAGATAGATCAAAATTTCACAGTTCTGCGCTATAGAGGTCTAAATTTCATAGTTTTAAGCTACAGAGGTCCAAGTTTCACAGTTCTGCGCTATAGAAGTCTAAATTTCATAGTTCTAAACTATAGAGGTCTAAGTTTCGTAGTCCTAAGCTACAGATAGATCAAAATTTCACAGTTCTGCGCTATAGAGGTCTAAATTTCATAGTTCTAAGCTACAGAGGTCTAAGTTTCGTAGTCCTAAGCTACAGATAGATCAAAATTTCACAGTTCTGCGCTACAGAGGTCTAAGTTTCATAGTTTTAAGCTATAGAGACCCAAGTTTCCCAGTTCTAACTTAAACAGGTGCAACATTCACACTTCACAGATCTGATCCACAGACTTCAGAGTTATACACCCATAAACCATACAATTCCACCTATTATACCACACATCTAAATTACACAATTCCCAGTTCATCGCTATATTTTCCAATCTCTGAAACGAGTCCAGCATCACACGACCTCCACACTCACCAGCTTCATTATCTTTCTCGTAAAACAGCTTTACGTGTTCGTCCTTAATCAACGAACCGTAACCAAACGATCCTTCACACTCACCAGCAAACGTTCCGTACCAAAAACCTATACCAACACTTAAAAGAGCTGTTACGCATTTTCCTATTGGGTCGCGTGTGTTACATGCTCGCTGCTCGTTACCAAGAGGATCTCGATCGAGCAAATGAATTGTTCAATCCGGTAGAACCACTTGCGGAAGATCGTAAATTTCCGTGTTTCTTCGATGCCCTGTGCTATTTGGGCGTTGATTGCCTCCTGCGGTTTACGAGGCGTACTTTACACCGAGCAGACGCTACAGCAACCTGCTTCGCCGTGTAATGCAAGAGAAAATCGCTTGGAGAAATCAATTTCTTAATCCTTCGAGGATGATCGATCTCTCGAAGATTCTCTCACACGTTTCAACGACAAATTTCACTTTTCTCCGACTACAAATACACGCAATCAGTCCTCTATCTTTGACGATACTACTGTATTTTATTAAAAAAAAAAGAGATTCAACGAGAACGAGAAATTTCCAAAAGAATAAATCACTCGACAAAGTTGCTACATTCTCGAAGGAAGCAGCGAGAAGGGAATCGTTCGAGCGAACAATTATGAGCAACACAGTACATGAAAAATTCAGCAAACCTCGAAACTCGCTTTCTCGTTTCCACGCGAAAAGTGAAGAATTTTTCGGAAAATTCGACGTGAATAATTCAACGAAAAAAAAAGAAAAAAACAGAAGATAAACAGAGGGGAACGGAGGATACTCTTACAGAGTGTAGAGAAAGAGAGAAGACACGGCAAATTAACTTTGCGATGAATTTTCATGAACCTCCACCCCTTCTCTTCGTTTCGTCTACGCGAGTCGGTGTTTCGACGCAGAACGAGTGAAATATTCATCGTTCAATCGCGGTTTACGATTAGAGAGGCACTTTCTTGCACGCTTACGCGTACCCGCCGCAATTTCGCTGGCCGCCAGCCGTGAAAATCGTATCGGCCGTTTATTTTTCGTACCGCCACCCGGTATACTAGAGGCGACGCGGACAAGTTATTCATTACCTGGATAAAGGCGCAGCCCGCACCGGAAGGGATCGTTGTACGCGCAAATGCTAGCCTCGTTGTACACAGCCAGCATGTCGTTGATCACACGATTGTACTGTGGAGGAGAAAGAAAAATGAGAGAAATGAGAATGATGGAAAAGGGTGGAGTACAGTGGTGTGAAGAAGTAGTGGGACACCCGGTGTGTTTGCGCGGACAGTATCGTATGGGTCGAGTTACTTTTCTTCATATTTTGGTGTTTAATATTTTTTATTATTCGGTTTTCATATTTTTCTGTCTTAGTAT